CTAAAGTTTATGGCTCTGCTTTTTTTTATCATTTGACTAAGCACTCATTTTATTTTGTATAAGTTTAGTTTGAATTATAAAGCCAATAAAAATAGGTATTAAAGTCCCAATCCTGTTTCCATATATACTAAAGACACATGAAAAAAATCATCTACCTCATTTCAAAAAAAGAAAAAAGAAAAGTGAAGTTAATGAGTGGGACTTCTTTATTTCAAGTCTGTGAAGAAGTATGTATACAAAGGGAGAGCACTATCAGAGCAGGTACAACATTTAGAAGTGAATTTTCCACTTGAAACAAGGAAAATTTTTTTTTCTTTATCTGGATTACAACTTCAGGGAAGAAACAAAAGCAAAAGTCAGAGAGAGGCAGAAGGGAGTTAAGAACTATGATCCTTAAGCCACTACTGTAATATGAGATTCTACATTCCTTGTAACTTCCCAATATTTGTTATTTAAAAATCATCAGTTTTAGACTCCTATAGCATAAGAATTAAAACCAAAATCAATAAATGGGATGGATAGAGCACTTATCTCTAGGGTATATAAAGAACTCAAAAAGCTAAGCACCAAAAAAACAAATAACCCAATCAATAAATGGGCTAAGGACCTGAACAGACACTTCTCAGAAGAGGATATACAATCAATCAAAAAATATATAAAAAATGTACATCATTCCTAGCAATTAGAGAATTGCAAATCAAAACTACTCTAAGATATCCTCACTCCAGTCAGAATTGACAGCTATTATGAAGACAAACAACAATAAGTGTTGGCGAGGATGTGGGGAAAAATGTCTCCATATATTGCTGGGGGGACTGCAAATTGGTACAGCCAATATGGAAAGCAGTATGGAGATTTCTTGGAAAATTGGGAATGGAACCACCATTTGACCTAGCTATCCCTCTCCTTGGTCTATACCCAAAGGACTTAAAAACAGCATACTACAGGGAGACAGCCACATCAATGTTTATAGCAGCACAATTCACAATAGCTAAACTGTGGAACCAACTAGATGCCCTTCAGTAGAGGAATGGATTTTAAAAATGTGGCATATATACACAATGGAATATTACTCAGCAATAAAAGAGAATAAAATCATGGCATTTTCAGGTAAATGGATGGAGTTGGAGCAGATTATGCTAAGTGAAGTTAGCCAATCCCTAAAAGACAAATGCAGAATGTTTTCTCTGACATAAGGATGCTGATTCATAGTTTGGTAGGAAGGAGAAGCGTGGAAGAAATAGACAAACTCTAGATAGGGAAGAGGGGTGGAAGGGAAAGGCAGGGGGAAGGGGGTTAGCAATGATTGTGGAATGTGATGGACATCATTATCCAAAGTACATCTATGAACACATAAATTTGTGTGAACATACTTTATATACAGAGATATGAAAAATTGTGCTCTGTATGTGTAATAAGAATTGTAGGCCCTAATCTCCATCTTGTGGGGTCGGGCTCCAAATTCCTTAATAGGACATCTATAACACAAGAGTTAAAATCAAGAATCAACAAGTGGGATGTATTCAAACTAAAAAGTTTTTTCTCAGCAAGAGAAACAATAAGAGAGGTAAATAGGGAGCCTACATCCTGGGAACAAATTTTTACCCCTCACACTTCAGATAGAGCTCTAATCTCCAAAGTATACAAAGAACTCAAAAAATTAAACAACAAGAAAACAAATAACCCAATCAACAAATGGGCCAAGGATCTGAACAGACACTTCTCAGAGGAGGATATACAATCAATCAACAAATACACGAAAAAATGCTCACCATCTCTAGCAGTCAGAGAAATGCAAATTAAAACTACTCTAAGATACCATCTCACTCCAGTAAGAGTGGCAGCCATTATGAAGTCAAACAATAACAAGTGCTGGCGAGGATGTGGGGAAAAGGGTACACTTGTGCATTGCTGGTGGGATTGCAAATTGGTTCAGACAATTTGGAAAGCAGTATGGAGATTCCTTGGAAATCTGGGAATGGAACCACTATTTGACCCAGCTATTCCCCTTCTCAGACTATACCCAAAAGACCTAAAAAGAGCATACAACAGGGACACAGCTACATCAATGTTCATGGCAGCACAATTCACAATAGCTAGACTGTGGAACCAACCCAGATGCCCTTCAATAGATGAATGGATAAAAAAAAAGTGGCATTTATACACAATGGAATATTACTCAACACTAAAAAATAACAAAATCATGGCATTTGCAGGGAAATGGATGGCATTAGAGCAGATTATGCTAAGTGAAGCTAGCCAATCCCTAAAAAACAAATGCAGAATGTCTTCTTTGATATAAGAGGGGCATCTCAAAACAGAGCAGGGAGGAAGAGCATGAGAAGAAGATTACCATTAAATAGGGATGAGAGGTGCGTGGGAATGGGAGAGAGAAGGGGAATTGCATGGAAGATGGTAGGAGACCCTCACTGTTATGTAAAATTACATATAAGATGGTGTGAGGGGGAAGAAAAAAGAGAGAGAGAGAGAAATGTGTCACAGTAGATTGGGTAGAAAGAGGTGATAGGAGGGGAGGGGAGAAGAGGGGGGATAGGAAGGGTAGCAGAATACAATAGACACTAGTATGGCCCTATGTATAAACGTGGCTGTATAACCAATGTGATCCTGCAATCTGTACACGTGGAAAAATAAGATTACATAGCCCATTTGAATCAAATGTATGATATGTCAAGATCATTGTAATGTTTTGAGCAACTAATAAAAAAAATTTTTAAAAAAGATAAGAAAAAAAGAATTGTAATGCATTCTACTGTCATGTATTTAAAAAATAAAATCAATTTTTAAAAATCATCCGTTTTATAATAATGATTACTAATTAAATTCTCCAAAAACTAACGTCCTAAAGTATATCTTTGGAAGCACTTTTTTAAAAAGAGGAAATTAAGGCAACTACATTTCACCCAAATAGGAGGTTTCAAAGGAGAGGATTTTCGAAAAAGAAATAGGTCATAATACTGTGTGCTATAGTTTATATATAAAATGTTCACCAAAGGCCCATGAGTTAAAGACTTGGTTGGATCCTCTATTTGGAGGTAGGGAACATCTAAGAGGTAGCTGCTGACTGTGAGCTCTTGATGAGAATATTGGGACCTCAGCTCCATCTTGTCTTTTTGCTTCCTTACAGCCCAGAGATTAATAAGCCTCCTCCTTGGTGCACTACCACCATGATATACCAGTGCCAACTCAGGCACAAAAACAACAGGACTGAGTGACCCCAGACTGAAACCTCTGAAACATAAGCCAAAATAAACTTGTCCCTTTATTAAAATATATTTTTTAGTTGTAGATGGACACTTTTGTTTTATTTATTTGTTTTTATGTGATGCTAAGGACCAGACCCAGTGCCTCACACCTGCTAGGCAAGCACTCTACCACTGAGCCACAACCTCACCCCCAAACCTGTCCACTAGTTTATCTCAGAAATTTTAATAATTTTAATAAATTAATAATCTTAATAATTTTCAGTGATGGAAAGCTAACAAACTATGTAAAGAGGAAAGTGGGCTGCATTCCTCTGTCCTCTAATAAGAAGAACTTTAACAAGAACAATAACAATCTGGAAGAAAATGAATACATCAGCCAGAAATAGAAGCTCAAATGAAGACAATTTTACACACACACACACACACACATACCATACATATAATAAATCGTGGGAGTCTTTAACATTATCTTATGTAGAAATTTACTCAGCAAATAATAAATTGCATTAATGGAGCTTAGAGTTTTTTCCCCGGGGAAATTCAAGATTAAAAACTCATATAGAAAGTGCTTCTTGGCTACACAATGCAGTTTAAAAAACAGTCATAGGCCAGAAAAAAAGTCAGACATTGTACACTTTTAAAAGTTAATATTTGGGGCTGAAGTTGTAGCTCAATGGTACAGCGCTGGCCTAGCATGTGTGAGGCACTGGGTTTGACTCTTAGCACCACATACAAATTAATAAATAAAGGTCCATCAATAACCAAAACATGTTATTTAAAAAGATAATATTTTAAGTTGGTTGGTGATGCACACCTTTAATTCCAGAGATTCACAGGCTGAGACAAAAGAATCTCAAGTTCAAGACCAGTCTCAGCAATTTAGTGAGACTCTATCTCAAAGAAACAAGTTTTGATTTGTACAAATCTTAAAGAACCCCATTCATCAAGCACCTTTTCAAAAAGATCTACTTTTGCATTGTTAGTTGACAGACACTTAAGCTTTTAAGTCATACAGCCGGTTAATCCCTGGCTTAGATGCTAACAAAACTTTGGGTATTCTTTTCCTTTTTGTGCTTCATCTATAAAATGGGAACAGTAACAATTCCTACCTCAGTGTAGTTGTAATAATAAGATGAAATAATGTGTGCAATGTACCAAGTAATTTCTGAATTTACCCAGTAAATTTGGCTCTTACTAGGATTTTTTTTTTTAACTTTCACATTATAAAGGAGTTTTAGGAATCGCTTAGGCATTTTCCTAGAGTCTGAAAATAACTAAATTACGGTACTTCAAAGGAGTCCAAGTGCCCCATTCACTGGGGCACCATCCCTGGCACTCTTCAAATGACAGGAGAGTTTTAACATTTCTTCATAATTCTTCTCTGGAATCTGAAGGCGCCGCTATCCTGAAGCTGTCCAGCCCTATCCCCGCCAAAGTACAAGAAGGTAACTGGGTAAACTTGCGCACCCAGCAGCCGCGAATTGCTGCGGGCACTCGGTGATGGCTCAGGATGAGGACAGTGCACACCCAAAGCGAGGATGAATAAGAATCGTCAACGTTAGAGAAAGACGGCGCGGAGGGAGCACTGATACGCAGGAACCCATCCCTCTAGCTCATCTTCATCCTCCCGCAGCCACAACCTAGAAAAGGGCCAGTGTCACGTGTGACGCATAAACATTTTCCCACGTCCCGCCTTGCCCGCTCCAGGCCACATGCGGCAAAAGCGCACGCGCCGCTTCGCTTCCGGGCGCAGCTCCTCGCTACCCACAATGCTCCGCGACACCGACCTGTCGCAAAGGCCGCGTTTCGGCGGCGAATGAGCTACTCGCTTTCCGTGCGCTGCGGCAGCGAAGGCGGCCGCGTCTTCCTCCTTCTGCCGTGGTGCCAGATCTCCTGAGGGTATCCATCCCCACTTAAGTCTGGCCAGTTACACCTGTCTCCGCAATGCCCCCCAAGAAACAGGCTCAGGCCGGGGGCAGCAAAAAGGCGGAGCAGAAAAAGAAGGAGAAGATTATCGAGGTGAGTAGCCACCCCCTCCCCCCACTCACGCCGCGAGCCCTTCGGGAAGCAGGCTCACCGCTTCCCGGGGCTCCTGCTCGCGTCTTGTGGGGCCACGTGTCCCTGCCTTCTGCTCCAGGGCTCACTGCCCCTTCTCAAGCCGCTCGTGACGCTCGCTGCCTCTCATTGCTATAGTGACGCTTCTGGCGCCCCCACACCTGGGCTTTGCTTCTCTGCACACACGTCCTCCCTCTTTCATCCACCGGGTGTGAAGTGACCCATGGGTTTTGTCCTTTGCTAGTCTCAGAATCGGGGACGTTTCTAGAGTTGAGTTTAAAGACGTACGCCGAACAGACTCCGGTCAGTCTTTCTGGAAGGCCAACTCATGACAGGCCTTTGTGTTCTTATTTCTTTACCTACCACCGAAGGGCTGTGCGTTTGATTATTTTCGAGCCAGCAAATTACAACTTGGTGTCTGTTTTGATCCACCTGTGAACTTTCCCAGAAGAATGCAGGTTTCTTTTAGATCACAGCCCAGCATCTCACACATCGCACTTGATATATACAATTTGAATTAAATAGAAAAACTCATTAAGAGAGGTTAGGCTTCTGTCATTAGGTGTATTAAACACCATGCCCCAACTTATATGTATATGTATGCGTGTATACGATGTATATATGTTTAGTGCATTGAGCCTGTAGCCCTTTAGTGGCCGAAAAACGGTATTGACGTTCTTAAGTGTTGTACACCTGTTTTCCAACGACAGTACCAGTTTCCTTAAGATAATGATCAGTAGTTAGCATTCCATAAACATATTATATAACCCCAATGAGGTATTTCTTTCTTAATATTCGGTTATCTTGGCCTTGAAAGCAGTCAAACTCCTTGTGGTTTTGTTGTACAAATATAATCAGAACTTGGTCAATTTTCATGTAATTTTTAGTCTGCTGATTAAAGTGAAATGCTTGTGAAGAATTACAATAACCTTGGCTAAGTTTCTCCCATGGAATAGAACCTGTACTCTTTAAAATTGTCAGGAAGTGGTATAGCACTTAGGTAAATCTCTGGGGACCATAATTTAATAATACTCAGTGCTTTGTAAACAAAGACATTTGTTACATGTAGGGTTTTTTTGCTGAGATGAAGTTAATGAGTTAACTAGTAAACCATTGATTCAAAGTAAAACTCCCATATGATAATAAATGTTATGTGAAAATTTAAGATACACTTCATACATTATAGAGTTTTAAGTACATACATATTTACTGTTTATATTTTTAACATTACATACATAAATGTTTCATTTTTAATTGGTAAAATATTTTTAAGGAATTGTGCATGGAAGTTATTGAGAGGATACCATCAACTCTAAGATTGATAAACTGTATGTTATGGCTCCATTCATCTTGTAACAAGGTGGCTTGATTTTGATTTGTTTTGGTGCTGGGAATTGAACCCAGGAACTTGAGCCTGTCACAGAGCTCTAACTCCAGCCAAAATGTTTATTTTTAAGGTTTCATTAGTGAAGATATCACCAAAGAAAAATGCAAAAAGGCAACTATATTTACTGACCAAAAAAATCCTAATAGTTTGGTTTGGTTTTATGTGTAACTCTCCTAAAGCCCTAGCATGTCTCCATGACTGTAAGTGCATATGGAGAGATAGAGCAAGCTAGCTCTCAGTTCCCCATCAGTTTCATCTAGAATGCTACATTATTAGTTTTTGTATGGATTTGTAAAATTTCAGCTGGAAAGTATTTTTATTACTGAACCATATAAATTAAGGTAAGATACACTTGTTTGTTTTCTGCACATACTGTTTAATTTTTAAATAGTTGCTAACATCTAAAACTTGAAAGATTTCGTAAACATACACACACAGCTATAAAATTCTAATTAGGATCCCATTCTTGTACATGACGTGGAATGGTGGTATATTTATATATGAACATAGGAAAGTTATGTCCAGTTTATACTACTATGACCTGAAATTCTAAATCAGTCAAATGAATAATTAAGTAGAATGTGATTTTTAGCAGTTTTGGGCGGGGGCGGGGGGAGGGGGTCTGAGATTTGAACCCAGTCTTACCCATGCTAAGCTTACAGTCTACAACTGAGCTAACGACACCCGCTGCTCCTTTAGAGGTGCTTTTGGATAGACTTTAAATGGTTGTTTTACCTACCTATCCCCTCTTCTGTATTAATATTGGTATAACTGCCAACAGTGTAGCTGCTTACTGGAGAAAAGCAACAACATGCAACTTTCGAAAACTAAAGGAAGTAAAAAGATGCATGAAAAGTAGAGAGTTTTTTTTTTTTCTATTTTTTTGTGTGTTTTATGGTACTGGGGATTGAACCTAAGAATTTGTGCATACTAGGCACGTGCTTTATCACTAAGCCATATTATAGCCTGAGAAGTAGCATAATTTAGTGAAAGGAGCACTAACTTTGGAGTCCTATAGACCTGGGTTTTGTGTCTTGTATTTCAAATTCCTAGCTCTGTAATTTTGGACAAGTTACGTACATGACCTATCCAAACTACTATTCTCCAAGCTAAATTAGATGATAAACAAATAGTTAGTTGACCATGTGATTTTTTCAACAGTTTTGTGGGAAAGGGGGGGGGGGCCGGCCGGCCGGCCGGGGGCCTGCGGCTCAGAGCGCACTACATGAAAAGTATCCACCTTATAGCATATATATTCTATATATGACAGGTCTTATTAATACTATATTACAAATAAGAGCTAGTTAGGGAAATTATTGCAGACTGACTTGCACGGTCTATAGGATGCTTATTTCTTGCCCACTGGAAATATTTTTTTTATATTGACTAATTTTTTTTTCTTTCTCTCTTGTAAACTACTCAAAATTTATGAATTCGTTATGTGAAGTTATTTTTTTTCTGAAATCAGTATACCATAGAGGCTTATAGTTCTATTAGCCATTCACACATTGGTCCCAAATGGTATATACCATGTGTTTTCTTTCAGCTAAAATGTAATAATAAATTAAATTCAGCTTTGAACAATAGCAAGATTGATTCTGGAAAGAGTGTTTAAGGCAAGTGAATAAAGAATGTTCATGTAAGAGCCAGTGCATACCTGTAGTCCCAGTGAATCGCAGGTTTAAGGCTGGCAATTTAGCAAGACCGTGTCTCAGAATTTAAAAGATTAGACCAGGGCCAGTGGTACACAACTGTAATTCCAGCAGCTTGGAGCTTGAAGCAGGAGGATCACAAGTTTAAAACCAGCCTCAGCAACTTAGCAAGGCATAAACAACTTAGCAAGATCCTGTCTCTAAATAAAATATAAAAAGGGCTGGGGATGTGGCTCAGTGGTTTTAGTGCCTTGGGTTCAATCCCCAGTACCATAAAATAAAATTTGAAAAATTAAAAGGGCTGAGGATATAGCTCAGCAGTAAAGCCTCTCTAAGTTTAGTTCCCCAGCACCAAAGGAAAAAGAGGAAGAGAATGTTTACTTAAGGACTATAGCAGCAAAGAAATAGTGATAGAGACCTATGGAAATGGGATCTATGTGTATGAAGAATGAATAAAAAGAAATTATTGGTTGTTAATGAAGAACTTTAGCTGAGATTAACTAGTGATTACTTGAAGCTAAATTAATAAATTACAGAATATCCTTTGCATATATGAACAACAAAATTTATTAGATAGTGCCTGGGTAGGGTTGAAGGAATGATTTAAAACTATGCCAGTCTCTGCTTACCTTAGTATTCCAAGCAATAGAACCTGGTTATTTTGAACAGTATTCACTGTTGACCTACTCTTTCCTTGCTTCCTTTTTTTCAAATTCCACTACTTTTTTTTTTTTTTTTAAGGAATAGAGGGAATGCTGGCCCTCTTACAGCTTGTTTTCTAAACTTGTTCATACTTGGTTTCCAAGTCATCTACTGAAACAAACATGTACTGTTTCTTCTCTAAAGCCTCACTTTTGAAACCTTACTAATCCAATGAGGGCCACTGTTTCTCAAGTTTCATTTTAACCTGATTTGGGATTCACCATAACCTTCTTTTCCTACCTAGTGTTCCCCCACTCCAAAATCCAGGCTAGTCTTTGGATAAGATTCTGTTCTATGTTCAAGAAAAAAGCTTTATTGAAGTAGTCCAAATTATAAACATCCTATTTTCAAGGAGTTCTGTTGGTATTCCAGACCTACAGAGTGCTATATGAAAAACTTGTTGCATATCAACCTGCCCTACAACTTAACCACATTTCTCTTGGAAGTACATAATTTTTTTATGGTGGAAAGAGAAAGGACTTTGCTTAAAGTCAAATATAACTTGGTACTAACATCAAAGGTCACCTCATAGTTAACACTTACAGGTCTAGACACAGTTCTCAGTGTTTTGGAGAAAGGAGAAAGGAAACATAAGCCACATGTAGCTTGTATATAACTCCTTTAATTCTCTCAGTGAAATAAATATTACTACCATTTTTATAGTAAAGGAAACAAGCACAAAGGTTAAGTAACCTGCTCGAAGTAACTAAAATGGCAAGAAGCAGAATTAGGATTTAAACCAGGAAATTTGACTTAAGTCCTTATTGACAGTCACTATGCTATACATCTTCTCCTTTGTGAACCTTAACTTTTAAAAGGTTAAAAAAAGATCCACTTTTCTATTAAGAAAACTATGGCAAAGAGGGTAATTGTTGACCCATCTCTTTTGGGATTGGGATTCAGGCAGTCTGATTCCAGAGCTTTTTCTCTTAAATCTTTACACTGTATTGCCTGGCCATTGTTAGCAGTGTAACTTCAAAAGAATTGTTGAATATTTCTGAGTTTGTGTATTTACAAAAAGAAATAACAGTATATCATTAAGTTAAGAAAATCCAATAAGGTATATATTCAGGAATATATGTTTAGTGTATGTTAGATGAATGCTTTCCCTTTCAAAAATAATTTCTGAACTCTAATTAGAGACTTTCAAAATGCAAGTCATTCATTATCTCTTTAGACTGGTTAATTATGTGCTAAAGCAATGTAATTAAACCTGAAAACTTCTTTTTGGGGGGGCATAGAGTTCTGGAACTTATGTACCTCTACCAGAAACTTTTCCATGTGTACATTTCTTTGTAGCAGGCCAGGTCCCCTTAGGGACTCTTTTCTTTTCCAAGTTTCATATATCAGTATCTACCTTGCTGCTTGCTGTTGATTACTCATAGCTTGCTTATTCTGTATAATTGCATGTAGGGCATGGGTTGAAGCCCACCTTTACTGTTCCCTTTCAAAGCATCTATAGATATTGTACTTTGATACTGATCATTTATAGGGGAGGGCAGTACTGGGGATTGAGCTCAGTGGCACTTTACCACTGAGCTACATCCAAAGTCTTCTCCCCACCCCTCCCCGCCGAAACAGGGTCTTGCAAAAGGCCTTGCTGTATTGCTGAGACTGGCCTTGAACTAGTGGTCCTCCTGCCTCAAGTCTCCTCAGTTTCAGGGATTACAGGCATGTGCCACTGTGCCTGGCCTGATAATATTTTTCCCTAGAGTTTCCTTTTCCTGTCCTAATAACTTACCTTTATTTAAAGAAAAAGAAAATGGCATGACATTTCATACTTGGTTGTTGAACTGTGATTGTCTTTCTCCATATATCACTATAACCCTTGACCATCTTCAAATTGGATGCAGTGTTAAACTTTCAGTATAAAAACAAGGGATGTCATTTGTAAAACACTTGATGCAGAGAATTTTAGCTTGTATCTGCTTCCTTTTTTTCTTACACGTAGGCTATCAAAACTTCATATAGGGCTGAGCATGGTGGCACACGCCTGTAATCCCAGTGGCTTGTGAGGCTGAGGAGGGGAGGATTGCAAGTTCAAGGCTAGCTTCAGGAACTTATCGAGGCCCTAAGTAACTTAGTGAGACCCTGTCTCTAAATGAAATACAAAAAAGGGCTGGGTATGTGGCTCAGTGGTTAAGCACCCCATGAATTCACTCCCCAGTACCAAAAAAAAAAATTTAGGTAGGATTTTATAATAGCATGTTGGGATATTAAAATATGAAGCAGGCATTTAGGTAGGGAAAGCAAAGTTTGGGTATATAGTATGAATAAAAAGATAGAAAATGAGAAAGAAAACTACAAATTCCATTTTAAAATTAAGAAACATCTACAATCTTGATTCTCAACATGTGAAAAATGGCAGCGGATGGGTGACTAGGTAACTCATTTAGTAGAGCAGAGCAGTCAAGACTGAGTACTCACCTAGAGTGTACCAATGAGAAGCAAGAATTTGCTATGCAAAATTGTAGAAAAACTCTATAGTGGGTGACATTAGGTACTACAAAAGGCAAGAGGCTGAAAATTATATTAAGAGTATTAGACGTACTAATAGTTCTTATCTACTATGCCTCAGCAAGGTGACTCCATACGACAAACAGATATATACTATGGGGTAATAGAGGTGTAGGGGCCTCTGTGCTCTGGAACTGTAGGCATAGACTAGTTGAAAGGAGGAGTAAAAATGTGGGCCTGGAAAATGGCCACTAAGGGAACTGTGGAAACTCAAAGAAACATTTTCCTCTACCAGTTCTCTTCTCCAGTCTTGTAGCCACATTAATTTACCTCCAGGCCAGAAGCTCCTTCCAAAACAGAGAATACAAAAAAAAAAAAAAAAAACACAAAAAAGATTTCAGATACCAGTGTTTGATGGTTTCCTGCAATATTGGTCATTAATGTTGGGGTCAAACTGTGCTAGTTTCTTGGGGGTGCTGTAATTAATTACCAAAATCTGGGTGGCTTGTTTTCTCACAGAACATTCTGTAAGGAAGAATCCTTTCTTGTCTCTTCCTAGTTTCTGGTGGCATCCAGCAATCTGTCATTTCCTTAGCTTTTAATTGTCACTCTAATCTCTCTTGTGTTCACATTTCCTTTCCCCCCCTCCCTATATCTTATAAAGATACAAGTTATCTGATTAGTTTTCACCCTAATCTAGTATGGCCTTATTTTGACTTATTACATCTACAAAAACTTGTTTCCAGATTAAGTCATATTTAAGGGTCAGGTGGACATGAATTTTGGAGGAACATTATTTAGTCCATCGCAACCCCCAAAGATGTATACACATATGCACATACTTATGCAATGGCTTCTGGATGTTTTTGTACTGCATACTTACAAGTAGCTAAGGTTTACCATTAGTACCTACCGCATAATAAGCATTCCATAATTGATAGCTACTCTTATCAGTAATATTCCAGATTCAGATAAAGTGTCACTTTATAGTTAGGCAATTTTCATTTTAGCAACAGCTAGGAATGTACACGTTTAAGTAGTTTGATTTCTTTTTTTTTTTTTTTTGAGAATTTTAATATTTATTTTTTAGTTTTCGGTGGACACAACATCTTTGTTTATATGTGGTGCTGAGGATTGAACCCGGGCCGCACGCATGCCAGATGAGGGCACTACCTCTTGAGCCACATCCCTAGCCCTTGATTTCTTGATTAAATGTAATTTTTTTTGAGAGGAACTTTATTGCCCCAACAACTAGTTCAGAACTTAATGTGTCTTCTTTCTTTGACAGTATTCCCCAAAATATGATCAGCAGTGAATTTTCTTTTAGCACACTCTGATAAAAGAGTACTGTGAGGTAAACTAAGATTTTTAAAGTGCTGCATGCTATATTCCCTCTGCTAACGCCTCTTGAGATATCATGTGCTTAATAATTAAGACTCTGGGGCTGATAAAGAAAAAAAGAATTATGTCATTTTCAGGAAAAATGGATGGAACTAGAGACCATTATGTTAATTGAAATAAGTCAAACTCAGAAGGTTGGGGTCGTGTGTTTTTCCCTTATGTGGAAGCTAGAGAGAAAAAAGAATAGATGGGGGTAGATCTCTTGAAAATCAGAGGGAAATCAATAGAAAAAAGGGCCCAAAGTATGGGACACGGGGAGAGGAGAAAGTGTTGAGAGTGATATTGGCCAAATTATGTTTTGTGTATCATGTGCAAGTACAGATATGTAAACAAGTCCCATCAGTGCGTACAACTATAATGCACCAATTAAAAAAATAGGGGGAGTTGGGCTGGGGATGTGGCTCAAGCAGTAGTGCGCTCTCCTGGCATGTGCAGGGCACTGAGTTCGATCCTCAGCACCACATAAAGATAAAATAAAGGTGTTGTGTCCACCGAAAACTAAAAAATAAATATTAAAAAATTCTCTCTCTCTCTCTCTCTCTCTCTCTCTTAAAAAAAAAAAAACAGGAGGGAGAAAGAATCTGGGGCTGGGGCTATAGCTCAGTAGTAGAGCCCTTTCCTAGTACGTCTGAGGTCCTTGATTCAACCCCCAGCACTGCAATAAGAAATACAAAAAGAATTTAAAATCCTGGGGCTGGGGTTTTGGCTCAGCGGTAGAGCACTCGCCTAGCACGTGCAAGGCCCTGGGTTCAATCCTCGGCACCATATAAAAATAAATAAATAAAGATAATATTAAAAAGTAAATATTAAAAAAAAAAGAATAAAGAATCCTATTCATTATCCTAAACATGTTCCTAAACTTGACTGTAGAACTTACCCCAGTATAACAACTCTACACATCCCGTAAAACTTAAATTCTGAAATACACTGTGGAATAAAACATCATAGCAGGAAATTTAATGATTGTTGTATGTATTGAATTATAAAGAATCCGGGTGTGATGTTTTGAAGTCATATTTTGCCTTGGCTTGATATTTTAGTGTTTCGCTTGTTGGTATGTCATAATTAACAGTATTTTTATCAATAAGTAAATGAATGATTTTTAATAGCAGTGGAGAAATAATAATAGAAATTCCTGAGATAATTATGTTTTTTCTCACTTAGGATAAAACTTTTGGTCTGAAGAATAAGAAAGGCGCAAAGCAACAGAAGTTTATCAAGGCTGTCACTCACCAAGTTAAATTTGGTCAGCAAAATCCACGTCAGGTAAATAATTTGAATTTCTTTATTTTCTTAACAGATGTAACGTTATTTAGCATCTGACCCTAATAAAGGTATTTGATGTTATAATTGTATTTCAAAATGGAATCCTAAATTCTTTTTTCATCTTTCCTTTCTTCCTCGGTCATACCTCTTAGATGTTCCTATAAGCCATTTTTTTTTCCATTTTTCAAAACTTTATTGAAGAAAAAAGCAATGGTGTTAAACCTTTAGAACATAGTCAATATTTTAGGATTCCGCCCTTGAAAAGGTGACATTTGATTTCCAAATACATGCTGGAAGTTTACGTGTATCCCAATTGTACTAAGTAAGTAAGAAGCTAAAATCCTAAAATGTTCATCTTCTAACTAGTCTGTGGTCTGCTTTGGATCAGCAATAATTGCCAGAACAGCTACTATGACTTTATTAATTTTTGTCTGTAGCTCTCTTAGTTCTTCTATATGCAGCAATTGCAGAATCTAGGCAGCTTCATTAAAAACTGTATCTCCTGTGTCAAAGCCAAGAATATTTTTATCTAAAACAACAGGCAAGCCCTCTTTTGTTTGATTTGCTTTAGCAACTGCATCTTGTCTTAGGCACTTTTGGATCAAAATGTGAATTGCCTTAAGCATTACCTGGTAATCTTCTGATGTTGAATCTGTAGAATGTTAGCCAAAGCCATCACACCAGCCTTAAAGTCAGGATTATTTACATCTGCAGAACCATTGATCAATTTGGATGTAAATAACCTCCAAGCCATTTTAATATAGCTCTAACTTATTCTAATAATGGCTGTAATATATCCATACTGTTCTACAGTATGGGTATATTATATCTGTTTCACTATTTTTAAGTGATCATTTTGTTTCTAGCTTTCTGACACTAAGAACACTTCTACAAGAAGGATACTTTTACATATGTCCTTATCTGAACACATGTCCTTACATGAGTTTGTGTTCTTTTGTTTCTGTGGCATAGTTATCTACTAAAAGACTTTATGTTTCTAGATCAAGAGAATAGATTTCAAATTTTAATAAATTTGCCTAATCACATTTCATAGAGACTATATAATACATTTTCATTTGCAGTGTATAAATAATGGGTACTAAAGTTCTTTTTAATGTTTTCCAATATAAAATGTAAGAAGTGATAATCTCACATCATTTACCTCACTACTGGAAATTATCTTCATAAGCTTATTGGTTATTAGGGTATGCACATTTTTGACTTTCCTATTGAAATTCTTTATTTTGTTGTTTTTCTTTTTTGGTTGTTTTATGTTAATTTGTGAGGGATATCCTTTGTCAATATTGCAGATAATTTGTGATGTTTCAGTTCTATTTTGTTGTACAACAGTTTTATTTTTATATTGTATATGTCTGGTTTTTTAAAAATATGGTTGAAATTTATCACTTTCTTCTGGATTATACATGCTTTTTCTAATTTTTTTCCTATATTATTTTCAGTCAACAATTTGTCAAAGAAATATATTTTATATTTTCTTGAATTTGTTTTCTTTAATAGCCAGCATAATTCATCCTACTGAATTAAAATACCATTATTGACATATATTCATAGTAAAGTTTCAGATATATTAGGATGTGTTTCTGTATTCTCTTTTGTGTTCTAATTGTCTGCACTTAAATCAGTATCATGCTGATTTTTTTTTATTAGTGTACTTATAATATACAGTTAACTTGTAAGGCAGTTCATTCCCCAGAATGCTGCTTTTTCTTTTTGTCTTTTGTTATTGTCATTGTTCTTGTTTATTTATTCCTCTCTATAAATTTCAAAATTATATTATTCGTTGAAAACTCATTAAAAACATGAGCCTTTCTCTGAGTTGCTTAGGGCTGCCTCAGCTTCCTGAGCCACTGGGATTACAGGCATTTGCCACTGTGCCCAGCAGATTTAGCCCTTTTGCTTCAGGTTCTTAGATCTTTCATTCCTTGAGATTTAGAAAACAGGAGTCTTTATTCCTTAAAGATTTTTCTTTTTATTTGTTCTAATTAGTTATACATTACAGTAGAATGCATTTTGACACATTGTACACAAATGAAGCACAACTTCTTCCTCTGGCTGTACATGTGCAGAGTCACACCAGTAGTGTAATCATACATGTATTTAGGGTAATAATGTCTGTCTCATTCCTCTGTCCTTTCCATCTGCACACCCTCTCCCCTCTCCTCCCCTCCCCTCACTCACCGATGCACAATCCAGAGTTCCTTCATTCCTCGGTACCCCCTATCCTATTATGGATGTGCATCCACTTAACAGAGAAAACATTTGGCCTTTGGTTTTTTGGGTTTGGCTTATTTTGCTTAGCATGATATATTCTCCAGCTCCATTCATTTACTGGCAAATGCCATCATTTCATTCTTCTTTAAGGCTGAATAATATTCCATTGTGCATATATATACTACATTTTCTTTATCCATTCATCTGTTGAAGGTTGCCTAGGTTGGTTTCATAGTTTAGTCCTTTGGGTATAAGCCAAGGAGTGGGATAACTGGGTCAAATGGTGGTTCCATTCCAAGTTTTCTGAGGAATCTCCACACTCTTTTTCATAGTGATTGCACCAATTTGCAGTCCCACCAGCAAAGTTAAAGTGTACCTTTTTTCCCACATCCTCACTAACACTTATTGCTTGTAATCTTGATAATTGCCATTCTGATTGGAGTAAAATGAAATCTTAGTGTAGTTTTGATTTTCATTTCTCTAATTGCTAGAGATGTTGAACACTTTTTCATGTTTGCTGATCAATTATATTTCTTCTTCTGTTCAGTTCCTTAGCCCATTTATTGATTGTGTTATTTGGTTTTTGGGTCTTAAGTTTTTTGAGTTCTTTATATATCCTGAAGACTAGTGCTGTTTTTGAGGTGTGTGTGGTAAAGATTTTCTCCCATTCTATAGACTCTCTCTCACATTATTGTTTTCCTTTGCTTAGTTTCATTCCATCCCATTGATTCTTGATTTTACTTCTTGCACTTTAGGAGTCTTATTAAGGAAGTCAGGTCCTAAGCCAACCAATATGATGAAGATTTGGGCCTAGTTTTTTCTTCTATTAGGCTCAGGGTCTCTGTTCTAGTGCCTGAATCCTTGATCCACTTTGAGTTGAGTTTTGTGCAGGGTGCGAGATAGAAGTTTAATTTCATTTTGCTACATATGGATTTCAGTTTTTCCGAACACCATTTGTTGAATAGGCTATCTTTTCTCCAGTGTATGTTTTTGGTGCCTTTGTTGATTTTCTTTTTATTTAATCTCTCCTATCTCCTTTTCCTTAACTTCTGGAAGTACTTTCTTTTTAAATGTGGGAAAGAAGAGATTTCTCATGTTTACAGATTTTTTTCATATGAGAGAGTATCAGAATAAATATTTGTGAGATGTTAACCTCTGTCTGAAACCAGATTCTCTCAGTCATGCTGTCTGCAAATCAATGCCTCAACCCTTTCCTTTCACCTGTCTTTCAGCTTGATTCTAGAGTCAAAATCTATTGCTCTTCCCAGCAGCTAACTTAACCTGATTTAATAAAAATGTACAGTCAGCCCTCCATATACAGAGGTTTATATTGTCAGATTCAACCAACTACAGGTCATAAATGTTTAAAACAGTTGTTATATTGTTGCTGTCATGTAGTGCCTAATTAGGACTAAGAGGCTCTGTATTGAACAAGACAGACTTTTTGCTCAAGGAACTAGAAAACACAACACAGATTTGGTATCCTGGGCAGGGGACCTGGAATCAATACCCACAGATACTAAGGGACAACCTTATGGTAAATCTTGGAGTTGAGTACATATTCATACATATATACAATAACAGAACATGGGTTTGAATCCTTTCTTGTTTTTTTCTTTACCCTTTTTTTTATTGGTGCCTTATAGTTACACATGATAGGATTTGTTACATATTTATATATACATATACTATAACAATATAATTTGGCCAATATCACTTCTCAGCACTTCCCTCCTCCTATCCCGTAATCTCTTTCCTATACTGATCTCCCTTTGATTTTTATGAGACTCCCACCTTTCTTTTCCTTTTCCACTCTAGTTTCCACATATGAGAGAAACCATAAAACCCTTAACCTTCTGATTTCATCTTACTTTATTTTGCTTAACATAATGGCCTCTAGTTCTATCCATTTTCCTGCAAATAACATAATTTATTTATATATTCTTTATGGCTAAATAAAACTCCATTGTGTAGATATACCAGGTTGTCTCTGTCCACTTACTCATTGGTAGACATCTAAGCTGGTTCCATAGTGTGGCTATTATGAATTGTGTTGCTGTAAACATGGCTATGCATGTATCACTATAGTATAATGACTTTAATTCTTTTTTTTTTTTCCTGTGGTGCTGGGGATCAAATCCAGGGTTTGTGCATTTGAGGCTGGCATTGTACCAACTGAGCTATATACCCAGCCCAGATGATGACTTAATTCTTTAGGATAAATACTGAGTAGTAGTATCACTAGGTCGTATGATGGTTTCATGCCTAGTTTTTTGAGTAACCTCTATACTGATTTCCATAGTGCTTGTACTAATTTACAATCCTACCAACAGTGTAGTAGTCTCGCCCACGTCCCACGTAGGCTGTGGAAATGGGGTTCCCCTCAGTGGAATGAATTGGCTGAGAAATAAAAGCTGAGAAAAAATAGAAGGGCGAAAAATAACCACAGAACACAGAAAGTAGTTTCAAAAGCAGGGGCAAGATGGGAAAGCCAATCAGCAGATCGAGCTTCTATACTCTGGTAAATTGGAGCCTGTGCCTGCTTTATTTATATCTGGAAATATCAAAGGCTTTCCGAAAAAGGTTAAATGTGGGCTGTTCAGTTCCCAACAGGTATGCCCAACTCCAGAGCTATTATGAGTATCTTCCTAGCAGAGCGGAGATAAAGGTCACATGCGTTGGGCAATCTGTTGCCATGAGATTTCACAATGCCAAACCTAAATCTCCCTGGCTACCATACCAGGAGAAGACCTTCATGTAATTCACAGATGGCTTCCTGCATAGTAGTGTTTCTTTTTTACCATATCCTCTCCAGCATTTATTATTCGTATTCTTGATGACTGCCATTCTAACTGTTGTGAGATGAAATCTGTGTAGTTTTGATTGGTATTTCACTAGTTGCTAGTGATGTTGAATATCTTTTTCATAGTTATCTTTTGAGAAATGTCTGTTTAATCCATAATGTTAAGTTAATATTTTATTAATATTAATTTACCCATTTACTAATTGGATTGTTTGTTGACTTTGGGGTATAGTTTATTGAATTCTTTATACAGTGTAGATATTAACTTTCTATCAGAAGAGTAGCTAGCAAAGATTTTCTTCTATAGTTTCTATCTTTACATTCTTTTTTTCTTTGTTCTGCAGAAACATTTTAACTTGGTTTCATACCATTTGTCAACTCTTGACATTATTTCCTGAGTTTCGGGGGTCCTATTGAAAAATTAATTGTCTGCGGCTATATGCTGGGGTATTGACACTACGTTATCTTCTGGGAGTTGTACAGTTTCTGATCAAACTTCTAGGTCTTTGATCCATGATTTTTGTGCAGGATAAGAGTTAAGAGTCTAATTTCATTCTTCTACATATAAATAGTTTCACCAGCACCACTTGTTAAAAAGGCTGTCTTTTCTTCATTTATGCTTTTGGCACTTTTGTCAAGAGTCAGATGACTGTAAATGGATGTATGGTTTTGTATCTGTCTTCTGTTCTGTACCTTTGGTCTATATGTCTGCTTTTATGCTAGCACTATGCAGTTTTTGTTGAATCCTATTTTGTTAAATGATCTTAAATTATTTAGTGACATTAGTCGTTATTCTTTCAGTGGAAGGTAAGTTATTCCTTCTAGAATTCCATTCATGGTTAAATGAGAAGAAATTTCATTTTTCAGTTCAGTTCTTTCTCCCTTGACTTTTCTTTCCTTATGGTGTTTTGAATGGTAATTTCAGATTTCATAGACCTGTGCAAAGTCACAAAATGTATGGTAGTATTTAGGTGTGATTATACATTCAGTATTATAACTTTGATATAGTCTTAGGTAACAGGACCATCTGGGAAGATGGAGTATCTGACCATCATTAATAACTTAGGAAATGAGTAGTAGTCCTGGACATTAGGTGCACTGCTGTAAGCCCTGTACAACAGAGGATGACCCTACTCAGTGTCTGCCCCAGACATTTCTCTTCCTGTGGATAAGGAGTCTGAGATAATGTGTCTACCCAGATTTTGAAGCACAGCTTCCCCACAAAACTGAGCCTACTTCCAGGACCTTTAAAGGCTCCTTCCCCATAAACATGTCCATTTAGAGTTTGCTGTGCTGGCAGTATGCCTGGGGTAGCCAAAAGGAGGATGTGTCCTAGGCTCACATCTCTGAATCCTCTACGTCTCTCCAGCACTTTTCACCTCTCTTCACTCCCAAGGAAGGATGAAACTGGATGGGAAAAGGAGGAGGAGTCAGGGGCTAACTCTACAATACTGCTGTGTGGTGAAACTCTCCCATATAGAGCCTGAGCATTTTAATTTGAGCCTCTTCTTGCAGTCATAAGACAAGTAGGAGTATAAACCATATTTTATAATATTGACTTGATTTCTAACTTTAAGTATTTTAAGTGATTTATGAGTCTCCATTGTATTCTTATTCTGATCCTCACAAATGTTTGAGGTGAGCCTATTGAGCAAAGAATACTTTTCATTAAAGGGAAGGGAGAGGGGATGGGATTAGGAAAAACAGTAGAATGAATCAGACATAACTTTTCTTTCATACGAATACATGACCAGTGTAACTCCACATCATGTATAGCCACAAGAATAGAAAGTTATACTCCATGTATCTATAATATCTCAAAAACACTCTACTGACATGAATATTTAAAAAGAACAAATTAAAAAATTTAAAAAGAAGAAGTAAGTGAAGTGGCCAGGCACAGGGTCACATATCTATAATCCCAGCAACCCAGAAAACTGAGGCAGGAGGATCACATGGTCAAGGCCAGTGTTAACAACCTTTGTAAGGCTTTAAGCCACTTAGCAAGACCTTGTTTCAAATAAAAAGGACAGAATGTAGCTCAGTGGTAAAGCCCCTCTGGCTTCAATCCACAGTACCAAAAAATGAAGTACAAAGTGACTTAAATTTTTTCTTTTTAATTGGTCAAAGTCAGAATTTAGGAAATCTTTGACCTAATTATAGCATTTGCCATTACTTTCCTAAAATTCCTCTTTTTGACCCCTTTTGTTTTGGTCTTTACTAATTTGTTTGGTGTTTCTTGTTCTCTTTCATGGGCTACATAGGGTCTGTTGACTGATTAAGTACAGGTATTCCTCGAGAAAGCATCCTCTGCTCACTTTTTTATGCTGTCCTGAGTAATCTCATACACTAAAATTATCAATTATGATCTATAACCTGGTATTTTAAAATTCTTTATCTCAAATCAAACCCTGTTTAGTTTCAGTAGAATCATTATCAATGTCTGATGAAGCTCCCTTCTAAATAACTCCACCCAGATGCTCTGTAAGCATTTCCTAGTGAGTATGCCCCAAACTGAGCTCATCTCCACCTCCTATCCTAAAACCTGTTTCTCCTGTATTCCCTGTCTTAACACCACTAATTAAACATGATAATCCTAGACTCCTTCTACTTTACACTTCATATTCACTTAGTCCTATCAGTTCTGCTTCCTAAGTAGCTCTTTGTTTCTATTTTCCATCCTAACTGCTAATGACTATTTTAACTCTTGTGTTTTCTTACCTACAGCAATTGCAGTAGGCTCTTTGTCTTCTTCAACCTTGAATTTCTAGTCTGTCTTCCACCAAACTGCCATACTCACCTTTTAAAAATAAAACATGCTCTTGGGGCTGGTATTGTGGCTCAGTGGTAGAGCGCTTGCCTAGCATGAGGCACTGGGTTCGATCCTCAGCACCATATATAAACAAAATAAAGGTCTGCTGACAACTAAAAATAAATATATATTTATATAAAATCAACAACAACATGCTCTTGTCACTTACTTATTTTAAACCAACTAAGTTGTACCCTGTCACCTGCTGGTAAAGTCCAAATTTCTCACTGTTGTTTCTCATACCTTGTTCCTCTAGTCCCTGTATCTTCATTGGCTGGCACTTTCTGCATTCCTTTCTTGCTCATCAGAAGAGCTCATCTATAAGGTTATCGACTGTAATTTTTGTAGGTATATAGATATTTTTTGTTCCCAGAGCACCATGTGTATTATATTATAGTTGTTGGCATGTCTGTCTTTCCCTTAGATTCTGAGCTTCTTTAAATAAGCATCTTTTGTCTTTTCAACTTTATATTCCTTGTCATCTAACATAGGACCTGATATATAAATGTTTGGATGAATCCTCTATAATCAATTAGGTAGGTAAATCATGTGCCTAGAACTATGTTTTGTTGTTGTTGTTGTTTTAATTTCCTGCCATGACCTAGTCTAGTTTTTTTTTTTTCACAGCGACACTGTAATGTTTTGGGTGGAACAATTGTGCGTGGGACTGTACATTTCAGAAGGTTTGCATTGCTCATCTTCAAAATGTACTCATACTTCTTTGGGTTGTTTTCATAGAAAAAAAATATCTCAGTGGAAACCATTTACTAAAAATGTTAGGCATTGTTGTAAATGCTTAATGTTTGTTGCCCTAAGCTTTTGAATATGCTTTTAATTAGACGTGGTACCATTTTTAGACCAAAAAATTCATTACAAGGTTTAGTAATTCTTTTTAATAGTTTAACCACAATATTTAATATATACCGAAAGACCATTCTATAGATACAGATGTTTACAAATGTCTTTGTTATGTTATTGACTACTGTGTGGTGAAAACAGTTTTGTAAATAATCAAATATACATTTTTAAACCTGGGAATATTTTAGGTAGCACAAAGTGAAGCTGAGAAGAAATTGAAGAAAGATGACAAAAAGAAAGAATTGCAGGAGCTGAATGAACTTTTCAAACCTGTAGTTGCTGCTCAAAAAATAAGCAAAGGTAAAACATATATTGGAGGTGTTATTTTTATGAAGTGTAATAGATGTTTACAACTCTGGATTTGTTTTGCTGTTCATTAGCTATGTCATTATACAACTATAACTCCATTTGTTAGTCCCACACATCAGAAAAATTAAGAATTTAAACAGTCCTTTTGTTGATTTATAACATTTAATCTTTGGTAGTAGTCAAGGCAAAGTATAAAGCATAAGTCATACGTTTTTGGCAGCACTCATGTTTGTTTCTCAAGTCCTGCCTCATTGACTCCAGCTAGGCAAGTGACATTTATGTAATAACATATATGTTTAGTTCCCACCCCTGCACCTCTTTTAGTAAGAATAAAACAGAGAAATAGATACAAAATGCTTCAGAAAGAACTGTAAGGAAATATTTTCCTAATCAAATACAATCTGTACTTTATTATCCAGCAGATTGTAATGCAAATTTCACATGCCATTTGATACAGGTGCAGATCCCAAATCTGTGGTGTGTGCATTCTTCAAGCAAGGACAATGTACTAAAGGAGATAAATGTAAGTTCTCTCATGACTTGACTTTGGAGAGAAAATGTGAGAAACGAAGTGTTTACATTGATGCAAGAGATGAAGAACTTGAAAAAGGTATTTTTTTTAATATTCTCTTAAAAATAAATACCTATTCCTTTTGGTTTGTTGTTAAGATATTTAGTAACTTAAATGTAACAATCTTCATCATATTGTTTGTAAAGAATAATTAATTATGTTTGCTATTTTTTGCAAAATCTGATTTTACTTCCTTATTCCTTTGATAAAATAAATGAAGGTGTGGGCTGGGGTTGTGTTGTGGCTCAGTGGTAGAGGACTCACCTAGCATGTGTGAAGCACTGGGTTTGATTCTCAGCAATGTGTGTGTGTGTGTGTGTGTGTGTGTGTGTGTGTGGTGTCCATCTACAACTAAAAATAAATAAATAAATGGAGATGTTTAAAAGCCAGGAATTTTATTTTGAATTTGTCACTCTTCTACAGTACTACCTTCTCATTTGCCTCAGCTACTTAGGAAGCATTGGTGAATTTCTAATAATGTTCTTTTATGCCTACCCTTGATGTTTTAAAGAAAAATATGTTAGGATATGAGTCTTACAATGCAATATATTCCCTCTCTATTTGAGGAGGTATATGTTAGTAGGAACAGTAGATACAAATATTTAATCTTCATATTTCTTTTAGATACTATGGATAATTGGGATGAAAAAAAGCTGGAAGAAGTAGTGAACAAGAAGCACGGTGAGGCGGAAAAGAAAAAACCAAAAACTCAAATAGTATGTCCTTTTCTTGAATTGAGTTGCTGTGGTAATTATTATTAGGGAGAATTATGTGTCAAGGTATCATTACAATTTTTTGTTGGATTATTAGAAAATTTTATTTTGTCAATATAAGTTACAAATTATCAAATTTTATTTTTAGAATTTACAAGTTATGTTTTACAAAATTCGATTCTTATTTGGAAAGTAAAAAACCATGCCATTAAAGTCCTCTAAATGCTATTTTCTAGGGTGATCTTACTTTCTCAAATATTGATGAATATAATCATATATTCAGATAAGAATTGTTTTTTTTGAAGTCTGGCACAGTGGCGCATGCCTATAATCCCAGCAATTTGGGAGCCTGAGGCAGGAGGATTTCATATTCAAGGCAAACCTCAACAACTTAGCAAGAAGCTCAGCTATTTAGGGAAACCCTGTCTCAAAATAAAAAGGCCTAGGGATGTAGCTTAGCTCAGTGATAAAGCACAGCTGAGTTCAAGCCCCATCCCCCCCCCCAATTGTTGTCTTATATTTGTGTATATTGAATGGTGGGAAACCTGTTAAACTAACCCACTTTAATAATAATTTGTTTGGTTTTAATAATGAGGAAAAAATTTTTTAATTGCCAGGTTAAATATGAGTTTTTGGTATGTAGTAGATCTATGATACTAAGAATTGTACCTTTAAAAATTGGTGAAATTATTTCACAGACTGCATTCATGTCCACATATTTAGTACTACTAAAGTGAAAAATCTTGCTACGCTAAAAAAATTTTTAAATACTACCTTCACTTACAACAGTTTCTTTGGAAAAGAACATCACTTGTTAATTTTTCATTATTTGCAAAGGTTATTGTTACCTGAGGCTTCAGTATAATTGCATCTTGTATCCATTCACGTTTTGAAGGGTGGCTATTCTTTGTGTTTTTATTGAGCCTTGTTCTCTTGTGATTCACAATATGAAATAGTTATGTAATTCATATAATGTTTCTGTCATTACTGTATAACTCTAGTTTAGGAAAGATAACATCAAAACATAATTATGATATTTTCATGACCACTTATATATGCTAATTTGAAACAAAAGTCTTTTTTGGTACTGGGTATTGAACCCAGGGTCACTTAACTACTAAGCCAAATTCCCAGATTTTTTTTATATTTTATTCTCTCACTAAGTTGCTTAGGATCTCGATAAGTTGCTGAGTCTGGCTTTGAATTCTCAGTTCTCCTGCCTCAGCCTTCCAAGCCACTGAAATTACAGGTGTATGCCACCATACCCAACAACAACAAGTTCTTTTGTATAATTAGAAAGAACATTGCCTAAAATATGTGCTTTATATGAATTTTCTCTGTAGGGAATTTGTCATTGTATCAAATATTTTAAGATAAATTTTTAGGCATAGTTCTGCATGTACGTAGTTAGTCCTAAAATGTCAATGGAATGTACTTGTTCAATATACTTAAGCATTTACCATGGAAATGGACTACATCAAGCCACTACTTCTAAACAATATTGTCTCTATAGGTGTGCAAGCATTTCCTTGAAGCTATTGAAAATAACAAGTATGGCTGGTTTTGGGTGTGCCCTGGAGGGGGTGATAATTGCATGTATCGTCATGCACTACCTCCTGGATTTGTGTTGAAAAAGGATAAAAAGAAAGAAGAGAAAGAAGATGAAATATCATTAGAAGATCTAATTGAAAGAGAGGTAACTAGTGTCTTTTTCCAACTGTTTAAAACAAACAAACAAAAAAACTAGAGCAGTGTGTATTGTTCTTTCTAATGTTTACCACTTGGGGGCAATAGCATGTTATGACAGGGAAAAAATATTGTGGCCTTTCTCCTAAGTTGCCCTACTTTAATTATTCTTTGTCTAAAATGTAAATCTAGCCATAAACATTAGCCAATCATGTGTAACAGTTTTTTGAGAACCAAAGATGGAGTTATATAAAATGCTTAACCAGATCTCAGATTGATTAAACTTTGTTAGTCCTAAATGCTTTTGTCTGTATCTTTTTTTTCCTACCATTATACTAATTATTAATATATATATGGAAGGATACATTTCACCTCCAGCTTTTTGGTTATATTTTGTATACCATTGCTGGACTTAAAATGCTATCTTATTGGGGGGAACAAGTATGATTAAAAAGGTTCTACAGCAGGGCTGGGGATATAGCTCACTTGGTAGAGTGCTTGTCTCGCATGCATAGGGTCCTGAGTTCAATCCCCAGCTCCACAAAAAAAAAAAAAAAGTGGGGGTGGGAGGATCTACTCATACTCCTGGCTCAGCAAAAAATAGAATTTTAGTCTGTGAGTTAACAGATATGCCTATCAGGAATTACATGAAATTATTGGAAGTCTTAGATTTAGCATTATTTATTTTTAAATATATACATTTTGTCTCATCATGGATAATCTTAAGTCATATAAATGCTTAATGTTGAGATTATATACCTTGTTCTTAAGTAAACATATTTGATATAGGATTCAACATATTATAATGTAGACTTTAGAATCAAGTGTATTTGGGATTGTTTATATCCTAGTTCCACTACTTGTTAGCTGTTCATCTTTGATAAATTTTCTTTTAAACGCTGCTTATAGGTGATGATCAATGTGTTAGCATATGTGTGTAAAGCTTTTAACATTGAATACCAGGCAGATGTTTAGCAAGTATTATTTCTCTGTATATTTATTACCTGATTATTGCCTCTGAGAAGCAAGTGGTATTTTTTGGTTTAGTTTTGTTTTTCAACAAGTGAAATTTGGATATTGCTATGTTGCTTTTTGGTTTTCATAATTAGTTCATGTTAAAACAATGTTTCTTGACAAGTTTTATTTTTGATATCCAGTGTTGAGAAGAAATCTAGCTCAGAGTAGTATGTTTTAAATATTTGTATATCTGGACACTGATTTTGCTCATTGCCATGTAATATAAAAGGGCATTAGTTTATTCCATATTCAGTGTGTATAGGATATTCATAAGCAAGAAATTAATTCATTAAAAGAAAACTGCTCTGTCTTTGCAGCGTTCTGCCCTAGGTCCAAATGTTACCAAAATCACTCTAGAGTCTTTTCTTGCATGGAAGAAAAGAAAAAGACAAGAAAAGATTGACAAACTCGAACAAGATATGGAAAGAAGGAAAGCTGACTTCAAAGCAGGGAAAGCTCTCGTGGTATGTCCCAAACTCACACACATTGATCCTTTACTGTTTCTTCGATTTTATAATTCCTGTCATGCAAGATTTTGTCTTTATGTAATAATGGATGTGTCTAAAATCAGTGACCAAGAAATGTTTGAATTTTCTTCTCAGTTGATAACATTTGTGTGTCTCAATAGATCAGTGGCCGGGAAGTGTTTGAATTTCGTCCTGAATTGGTCAATGATGACGATGAGGAAGCAGATGATACCCGTTATACTCAGGGATCAGGTGGTGATGAGGTAAGAGGATGTTTTGCCTTCATCTGCTCATGTTAATTGAAAGAAACAATAGAAAGAATAAAGCAGAATGGTTAAGAGCACCAACAATGAAGCCAGCATGCCTTGGTTTAAATGTTTATTCCATTAATAAACTAATAAATTTGTATTATTTTGTAGTTATTTTATGAATTTAGGACAGTATTTTGTATATAGTTATGTGCTGTAGTATTAGCTATAAGATATGTTTTAGTCTTCCTTTAAAATAAAAAATAAGGCCTTTGTGTTTAATATTTTATGCTTAAAATCATGGGACAGTGTTACTACCTAAAATGTAGAGTAGAGAGCCTGTGACAAAGGCAGCCATTGGGTTGTAGAGAATTTCAGTGATAGCAAACAACTTACTGTTTATTTTTTGTGTAATTTTTATAAAACAGTAGAGAAGACGTAGGGAGATTATTGGAAGAACAGTATACTCTAAAAATGTAATGCCAAAGGAGACTTCAAATTTGACAGTGCTACTCTTTTCCCAGAGAAGTTTGGAAAAAGAAATGAATTTAAATAACATTTGATCATTTGTTTTCATTTGACATTAGTGATAATTTTATTTCATTAAGATAAATCTTAGAAGTAATAATAATTTGTGGAAACTATTTATTATAATTATTGGTACATCATAATTGTATAAGTTAACGGGTATAATTGTGACATTTTCATACATGTATATAACATGCTTTGATTTTCTCCACTCTCCCTTCCCCCCCATGTACCTTCCCCTTCCCTAGTAGGACCCCTTCTGTGTGAAAATTATTCTTATTTGTACCAACTTTCTTTTCTATGTGTTGTTAAAGGTTGATGATTCTGTGAGCGTAAATGACATAGATTTAAGCCTGTACGTCCCAAGAGATGTAGATGAGACAGGTATTACTGTAGCCAGTCTTGAAAGATTCAGCACATATGCTTCAGACAAAGATGGTAAGTATGCTACCTTTTACAGAATACTAAGAACTAGAAAGCTACCTAAAGAGAATTAGACCAGGCTTGGAAAAATTAGATATGTGTAGGTATCAGACTGGTAACTTAAACATGGGTTTGGCCATATATAAAACTATCAGTGAATAGGAGAATTTGTAGAAATTAGTGGTTGGGGGGGATATTGATTCAATTAACTGAAACTAGAAGGGGACCAGAAGCAAAGCTGGAGATACAGGTAATAGGTTTAGTGTGGAACCTCATGAATTTAACTTTTTGTTAACACAAATGACATTGTCTGTATTCTGTGACCATTTGCAGAAGAAAACAGTTTGAAAGCCATCTGTATGGGTGTCTGAGTGAATGAGCTCATCTAGGCATAGCACATAGAATGATAACGTTCCAGAACACACTGCAAACAGCGTTATTTTAGGATAGACAAAAGAGGAAATACTTTAAAAAGATATTGAGGCGCTCAGAGAAAAATTACAAAATAAGAGTTTCAGAAAAATCAAAGGATTATATTTATAAATAAGTTATTAGTTATGGTTAGTAAAGGAGTTATAGGAATAAGGTGCCAATTTTTAACATTATGTACCACTCACTTTTGACTTTAAGAAGGAGGTCCTAGGAAGGGCTTTTTAGGGTATAGGAAACCTAAATGAGAAAAGAGATCTGATAGGGGAGGAGAAATTGTTAAATTAAAGGAGCTTAGTTAAATAGCTATAAAGATAAATAATGATTAAGAATGGAGGAAAAGCTGTCTGCAGTGTATTTGGAAAGAAAGATTGTTATATTTTTTGTCTAATTGTGCCTTGAGAAAGGGGTTTTTAGAGAGGAGTAAAGTTTGACATGTTTCATATTAATGAAGCAGAAGCCAAGATAGAAAGGCTAAACCTTTTTAAAAAAAAATAATAATAATAAAAGCACATAGTTTATACTTGAAACACTAGTCTGCCCTCTGGAGATCTAAGAATGCTGTCACTATTGTCTTTCCAATATAAAGACTGATTTGCTCCTTTTAAAAGTGGAACTTGGGTAATATTAGGTAAAAGCAAGAGTAATATTTCAGAGTTTATAATCCCCAAGACTACATCAAAAGTGTTTGAAATAGCTAAAATCTAAATTAGGCCGTTAAAAATTGTCTGTGTAAATGTCTTTGAACAAGAGAGACAGCATTTTTGTTTTCTCGTTTACTATAAGGAAAAATAGTTACATAGTACTAAGATCTTTTTTATGGTGCTAGGGATTGAACCCAGGACCCTATATATGCAAGACAAGTGCTCTACCACTGAGCTGCATCCCTATCCATACTAGGCTGTTTTATAACAGTTTGTTACATGATGAAATTTTTCTAGTTTCAGCATTACAACTAGTGTGATTTAACTACTATTTACAAAACCAAAAGCTAGATAGCTGTTTATGTGCATAAGTTGACTGTTTTAAAACCTAATAACCTGGTCATGTAGGGAATACAGAGTTGTAGAAGATTCATCTTGCCTTTAAGTATGTAAATCATTAAGGTTTCAGGTTCCTTCAGTAAACACAGTGTTTTACAGTATACATAAAGAATCATTACAAGTAAGCTTAGAAAAAGAAAAATCAGTTCTAGCTGCAGTGATCCCCAGGAACAGCTTTCATGGGGCAGAGTGGGGTGGTACAGATAAAGGAAGGAGAAGTATTAGTCTAAGCTGTCAACTGCTAGTGGAGCATAGTGTTTTCTATTTCTATGCCACATTGATTTCAATTTTTTATTTTTAGAAAACAAATTAAGTGAAGCTTCTGGAGGTAGAGCTGAAAATGGTGAAAGAAGTGATTTGGAAGAAGACAACGAAGGGGAGGGACAGGAAAATGGAGCCATCGATGCTGTTCCTGTTGATGAAAATCTTTTTACTGGCGAAGATTTGGATGAACTAGAAGAAGAATTAAACACACTTGATTTAGAAGAATGACACCAAACAAGTCAATGAAAATATTTAAGTCAGCTCAGCATGAGTTGAAATTGACTACATTAATTTTTTCCACCTAGAATCAACAGGATGTTTATTTCCCATGCTGATTCTGGAGGGCTTACTCTCCTCCAAAAAAGGAATAATCTCCCTACGTCTTCTCTTCTGACTTTGACTACATCTCATAGTAAGTTCAGAGTAGTTCATGATAAATTGAAAATATAATGGTCATTACAGAAAATGATTGATTGTCGTAACTGTCCACTCAAGTAGGAAATGTAACTGCTTTTCCAGCTTTTGGTTTTCATTGGGCATGTATTATTACCAGGAACAACAAATTTAAAATACCCCTTATTTGATGCAGTTTTTAATGAGTGGTTTCCTTTCCTTTGAATTTATGTTTTAAAGACTGCCTAAAACATGAGCACTGTACTTCATAAAGGATACTGCATATGCAGATTCAGTATTGTATCTTTGAACAACTGGATGGACATTTAAAATGGAACTTCTTTAACCTGACAGGATCAGCTACAATGCCCTGTGTTAAACTGTTTTCCCTCTTCTTTTTTGCCAATAAAGTTGTAAATAAAGACCATCATACATTAAAATCCAAATATGGTCCTTTTTTTTTAAGTTTTTATTTGAAAATTTTCTTAACATTTCTAGCTTAAGAATTTAACTGAATATCTGTTATAGTATCACATAAGGCACAGACACTTGATTTTTTTTTTTTCTTTTTAAACTTCAGTAGAAGCATGTATAGTATTGATGGTATTAACAATGAGTTTAGCAACTAATTCTTAGCTTCCAGAAGAGCCTGTAGGTGATATTATATAAAAAATAACTTCTGAATTGATAGCTCATTAGCCTAAGTAAATATCACTTTCAAAGACTACATCAGAATTGTTGAGGTCCATGGTGTTAAAATAGTGCATACTTAAGTTTGATAAGTCCATTTGCAAGAATCTAAAGAAATTCACCAGAAATCTTTGGGTTGAGTTTCTCTGTCATTGAGATTCCCTGAAAAATTAGGGTGATAACACATTTAAAATGGACATCATTTGTTAATGACATATTTAATACTAGATAACTTACCATTATTATATTATATATTTTCCCATACTACAGTGCTACTTTTGTTATTTACAAATATAAATGGATTTTGAAGCAACTAAGATAATCTTACTGAAGTATCAGATGACCTGGGCCTTATTCTCATTTTTAAATCTCTGGATTAGTTTTTTTCATTTGCATTGGAAAGCTAAGACTGAATGAGGTCTAAAGCGCTTGTGAATTGTAAAACCTAAGAAAACATGATCATAAAATTTGTCAAATGATAATATCAAAGTTGATAAAGAAATTTACTTTGTAGCTGTTGAATATTAGCACTATAATTCACATTTTTCAAATAGGAAATCATGAGCCAAGTTTATTTCCTGTCTGTCTTTTTAAAACTCTACCCCCACGCTATCAATTCTTATTTTCAATTTTTGAAACAATTTTAAATTTTTTTCTAAGAATTTATCTAACAACTGAGTTAAAATTCAGTTACTTTCAACCCTATTTTTTTATTTTTCTTTTACATGTAAGATAGACCCATTTAAACAAACAAAAGACTGGGGGGGGGTGAATGTTTGATTTAAAGCATCACTAAAACATTACAGCAAATAAGTCATTTTGAAGTGAGTTAAAGGAGAAATTGTTTCAGTATGAAAGTCATTATTGATTCCTACAAGTTTGTAATTCTTGGATGAACTTCATCTATATTACCCCAAGTTTTCTTCCATTATAAAGACATATGTAGAAAAGAAAATGTAAAAGCACATAATCTTAGAAGAGCAAAATGCAAAATTAAATCTGCTTCTAAAGTTCTAGTACATTTCAGAGGTCAATAGAAATTTGTATAGTTCACAGTATAGTTACTCTATTTATACAGATAATCTGAGCTTGTCCTTTTTCAAACCCAATTTCTACATAATCTTAATTTTTAAATAGTTTTTCTTCCAAATTTCTCTTTATATTTAATTCCCACTGTTAACATATTTCTGTAATATAATTATAAATTAATGGAACTTTAGCTTCATTTTAAAAGGACTGTGGTTTAGAAAATCAGAAACTTAATGATAAAGCTTTCCACAAGGGAGAAAAAATATGACTTTACATTATTTCCTTATATTCTGTGAAATGAGATCATTTCCTAGACATAAAGAGCTTTTCATTTTATCCTTAACCTCTAGAAGATTCCATGAGCCTCCACTCTTTATATCTTACACTCAACAAATATTATAGCCTATAATGATCCTATGTTTGCCAGAATCTAATTCAAAGTAGGTATGTTGTAAATTTTACCTTGTCTTTGCACAGATGGCTAGTTGGATACTGTAAGCCCCACCATACATGGACAAGTACATATTTTGCAATGTATTTTTAATAGTTGAATCAATCAGCTTTAACAGCTAAGTGATTTAGAGTGTGATAGTAAAAGAAAAACTGTAGGATCGAGGTTTAGAGGTAGCAGATGATTAAGAAAGCTTTGCATCCAACCCCAAATTTTAACACAAAAGGAGTTTATACCAGAAGTACATACAGATAACTAATAGTATTATGTGATAAGTTCTGTTCCTGTTCAGGGTAAAGAACATTCAGGATCAGAGACTACAAATCTTCACTCTATTAAGTATAGAACTGATTCTGATATAAATACTGTTATGTTACTGCTTCCAGATACTTAGCACCCTGTTCATATACTCAAAAACATGTTTCAGTGAAGATCAATACAAAATAAGTGGAGGGACTACCAGAATCTTTTGAGATTTTTATCCTTTCTTAAGCATATATTTCACTGATGGATAGCTGTGTTTTCTGAATAAAGGCAACAACTTGTTTCTCAGTTTCCAAAAATTATGAGACACCAAACTTTATAAATAGAGTTTGGCCACACTGGTTCATCCTACAAAGTTTTAGAAACAAATCTGAGTGAAATATTAGCACAAAATGCATTTTTATATTCTTTTTTTAGAATGATGTTGTCCTTTTATTGTTAATTGCTTTTTGTTAATCGGAAAAGAAAAAGTAATGCCTTTTTATTAGTTCAGTTGATAGGTGTCTCCTTTTTTACACAGAAAATATGTTTGGGAGCACTATAGATAGCGTGAACTATCGTACATAATTTTAATACATAGTCTCTTCTTGATTTAAGTATACGATTTAGAAGAGGAAATCACAACTATGCAAAGCAGAAGTCGTGCTTAGCTACTAGTTGGAATGAGTCCCTTTTCAGTCAGATTACAAGCAAACTTTTCATGCTTTTTGCATTCACATTTTATTGATTATGTTTTTTTAAGATGCCCTTTGTGAAAATACTGTGATAGTTTTCAAACAAAGAATTTTATTTTGTGCTTGGTCCCTGGAGACATATTTTTGCAGCAGCTAATCTGGTTTTTAAACAGATATATGTAAAATTTAACCAGTACTATGGGACTTAAAGACTAGGACTTAGTTTCCTTAGCCCCATCTTAGTTGCTATTTGCTATAATTGAAAAAACAACTGGCATTTTTCTTGCCAGTTAACCTCTAGGATATACTAGTATTTTTCAAGGGACAAATTTTCCTTCCAAATATGCAGCAGTGTTTTATTTCACCTGTGAATTCCTTAAACGATATTTAATATTTGTTTTAGGAAACTATTTTAGTGACAGGTAATTCAGTATAACTTTTATAACTTTTATTATTGTATATTTAAATAATTTTATGCATTACCATATTTAATTGTTGGTTATTTTGAGTATCTTATAACTATAGCATGTATAGAAATGTATCAAAAAATGTATAAATTGAAACTAGCTAAATAACTGAAAACTCAAGTTACAGGTATGTATAATAATTAGTAATTATGTGACTTGTTTCATAATTATGTTGTTGTATATATTATATCTATTTTGTTTGAAATAGAAAAGTTTAGTGTGTGAGAAGTATAATCCATTATATCAGGAATGTTTATCCTTGAATTTTTACACAGTGCTGAATAGGTAGTGAAATCACTTAGTAACTAAATCACTTTTTGATAGTTAATTTTTGGAGATACATTGTGTATCAGTTGTATACAAGCTTAATTAGCCTCATTAGTGGTTCACTCTATAAAGTATACTTAATATACTATGATATACTAAGAGTGATTAGATTATATTCCTACATCTCTTGCACTGATTATCCCCCGTAGACGGAAAATAAAAATTAATTTCTTTTTTAAAAAAAAATTTAATGGATACATAGTAGTAGTAGTAGTTCACTGGTTTTTGCACTCTGGATGTATTTTCTGACATCTGCAGGGAAGTTTTCACTGATAGCTTCAGCCTGTTTTTCTTGACAGAAATGTAGAACTTAAAAAGAACTAGGGGCTGGGTTGTGTCTCAGCGGTAGAGTGGTAGAGCTAGGCCCTGGGTATTTTTCCCAAAGCAGTTTTCTGATTGGAGGGGTGAAACCTCAGTTATCTAAAATGTTCCCTTTAGAAATCCTGAGATGTTAGACACCAGAAATTCTGACCCCTACCTACCCTTTTTCTCTCCTGGGAAACTTTTGGCAGCAAAGACTTCTTTTTAATTTTTTCACTTTATTTTTATATTTAATTAATTCAACATTGGTGTAACAACTAAGGAAGTTTGCTAGCTAATGGGCTTATCATAAAGGTTTCTGATGATTGGCATACATAAAAAGCCAAAACTGGATGAAAAGCAAAAAGTTGATTCTCTTTATTAAAAACAGATAGCAAAATCATTATTAGCAGTGCCAGAAATATTAGCACAGCTGAGTAATCCGTAAGACAAAAAAAAGTGAGCTAACACCTCATGTTTAAAAGACCAGAAAAGCACTCACAGGGGTGGTAGGTAGTTCTGTAACATGCTAATAATAATATACCTCTGTGTATACAGCATACTACTGTATAAAAATATAAAAATAATGCTGTATGAAAATATGGGAATATAAGGACAAGTAAAAATGGATTTAGATTAATTTTCTTAATAATCATTTACACGAAATCAAAAATTTATCTGGGCAAGAACATAAATGTACTTTTCACTTTTACCTGTGAGTTTATGAACATATAAAAGGAAGAGAGGAAGAATTTTTTTTCCCCTAGCACTGAGGATCAAACCTTGGGCCTCATACCTGTTAAGCAAGTACTCTACCATTGAGCTACACTTTTGACCCCAGAAATTTTTTTAAATGAGTACTAAAACTGGATATCATAAAATCTTAACTTGATTAATATTGAATAATCGTGCTGAACCCATATAATAATTATTTTTAAATACATTAATGTAAAATATAACATTTTTAGAAAGAAAATACAGTTCTCTTTCACATAAAACACATAGCTCTTTCAAATTTGGAGAATGTCACTCACCAGAAGACATTGAGAATTGGACAATTAATTTCAATCATAGTCCCTACAATAAAATTCTCAAAAGAACCAGTGAGTCCTATTGAGATGTCTTTGCTATCGTCCTCCAGTTTGGTTATATAAACAATTTTTCAAAGAAATATAAAATGAAATAAGGTGAACTTTTGTGGAAGAGAAGATACCAGATAGTACACATCTATTGCTGTTTTTTGT